TCTATTATTAATGATTACACAAGGTATCCTACTCGATCCAAATTACCCCCATCCCAGAATAGTTTTCACAAAAGGTCGTCAATTCTGGTCTGCATGTTTCCATGACCAACATCAAGCCCTCACTTATTGCAATCTTTATAAAGTTTATATGGAACAAGTACCAACAGACCCAACCTACACCCAAGCAGACCCAGAACGCTGTCCCCGGGACTGCTCTAGATCTGGGACTGCTTTGTGACAGGTTGGGTCTGGTTGGTACTGTACTTATATGACTTCGAGGAAAATACACAAGAGAAATAAAATGGTTAATTTGTTCGCTTGTACGTACAGGAATTGGCAATGAAGTTAATTGTTGCAGAAAAGAAATAATACAACCCTCGTAAGCGGGTAATGTATTTTTTTCTACAATAGCTGCATTCGTTAGTTCCTGATTTATAACGAAGTTCATATATTCGCCTGTATAAAAATAAAATTAAAAAAAAAATTAAGTACACTAAATATAGTTGTATAACTGTTGTATCATTGAAATGAACGTTATGGTTTATTTCATCGGTGGAAAAGCGCACTGCAATCTTAATAAAAATTTATAGATACAGGTAGTGTAAAAAAAGTTTCTTACCGGGAGTTTTATTATAGATAAATTAATGAATGTTATAATTTTGTTTGAGTTGAAACGGAACCCTAGATAATGTTTAGAAGTTTAAAGATGTAAAATTGATCAAAAAGAAATTTTAAGAAATAGGAGGGGAAAACGTATAACCTTTTGTCAAAAATGGTCAGTTGAACTTACATGTAATATATTTGGACTAAACTTTAACAGTTGGTTCATTAAAGAATATGCCCTAAGCATAGAAATGCATTTTCCTTGGTTAAACATGTATTAACTGTCCTACAGATTTTCTGCGTTTTGCCAGTACACATGCACCGGCAACTTAGCACCGGTATATCTGTACTACAACGTTTACATGTATATCGCACTACCTTGAAGATTGTTAATTTGTTTACTTTTAAGAAATGAATTTAATTTTTGAAGATTCATGAGGTTATGAACTACGACGCTTCACGCCGGCATATTTCATGAAGCGCGTTAGCGCTTCATGATAAATATGCCGGCGTGAAGCGTTGTAGTTCATATACCTCATGAATCTTCAAAAAATTAAATTCATTTCTTATATTTACATTATTTTTCTGATGACTTGCCATAAATTTACGCCGTTTAACTGTCGTTTTTAAAACAAAACAGTGTGCACTATATTTTTTTTACTTTTTGACGTCAAGAGCGGTATTATGACGTAACAATGGATATATTCATGCTTATTTGTGATACATACCTAATGTAGTTCATGAGAAAATATACCGCATTTTATTTTGTAAAGAATTATAGGGGAAATTTATTGGAAATGTAAATATTAGATTATGTGTTTAATTGATAATAAAACAGTCCCGTCTGACAGTGTTGTTCATCTTTTAAGTTATATTTTTGGAATGTTTTTCTTTACATGCTTCACCAGTATGCATACATATGCATACATAGTTGATGATATAAATATTTCAATTGAAATACTGTAACCAATTCTTTAATTCAGTAAATCAAAGCAAATTATCGTAATGTTATCTTTTAGATTTTTGCACTTCTTCCCTCAGTGAGATAGTCTGACATATAAGGTATTCACAGTATATTTTGCATTATAATGTATATACATGCATCATGCATCATACATTGTATAACATATTAAAAATATCACCTGTAAACAGTTTGGTATATGAAAAGTCATTTTAGCTAAACCAACCTGTAGCATTTAAAAAAACTGTCAGAAGAAGATAGCAGTATGGCTCGGCTCCATCAATTTGCTACAGTTTTGGAAAAGGGGAACTCTTTATGACAATCAGCCCATATTCTTCAAGAAAATGCTTCAGCCATCATTACATGATTAATATTGTTCACTCCCGTCAATAAATGCAAAAGGTTGCCTTAAAACCATGGGAGTTCAAAATACCAAAATTAATTTGAATAGTTGTATTCTTTATATTTATACACTTAACAAAACTTCTAAGTGTTCACTTTAATAAATGTTTTTATTTGAAAACTACTTTATAGAATGGTATGATATTTTCAAATTATTACAACAAATCTTCTCAACAATTGTAGAAAGAAAATTCAATATCACCGATGAAAACCAATGTTCCGTGACGAAGCTTAAAAACAATAAATCTGTACTTTGTGGCACATATTTTATGTAATAAGCATATTTGTGTGACCATTATCAAATTTTATAAACTGGTTTCGCTAAAAAACAAAAAACATTGGCAAAATGACCATTGAGATAGAAGATAGAGCCGTTGGAATGTTGATATCTGGACCATCTTTGCACCACGTTTTACTCACTTTTATTTTAGTGCTTAATTGTACTTGATATTACTTTTAAAAAATCATCAAACAGTATCGAAACCCATTAAAAAAAAATTTCTATAAGCTGTGATTATTTTTCATCACTAATTTATCACAATTTGAAAGTTTTTGACAAAATTTAACCACACCGGAAGTGACCTTGATCTTCTTCTTAGGAGAAAATTTCGTGTCACACCAGGTTAATAGAGTGGTAAAGTGTCCTGAATAAATATTAGAAACATGGAAACAAATCATTTCAATCGTACGGAAATGATAAGAAATCGGTGCTCGTAGCAGTCTTATATCAGCTCAAGCAGTCTGAATTATCCTTAGAGCGGCGCACTAACGTGCTAAACACCCAAGGACCTTGACCAAAAGACATCTGTGTGACTATACAGTCAAATTCCCGGATCTGAATCCCATTGAACACATTTGGGATTTTAAAAGAAATGTCAAAGCCCCCCCCCCCCTTCTTCACAATTTCAATGATTTGGAAAGATCTATGCAGTACATGTAGGTGTGGCAACAGATGGGTCAATCTCCTAATCAGGGGTACATGGTATCTAACAATGAAGATTGTCTTGTAGTACTTAGAGCGAGTAGTGGGTCTAATCCAATCGAGATTTTTTTGTGTGAATTTTCATTTTGAGGGTACACCATTTCCTTGACACTTTGATTAAACTTCTGACGAGATACTTACATGAAATTTACGCAACATCGAACTTAAATATGCATCATGAACCGAGAATTAAAGAAATTATTTATTGTTCCCATTTGTTCTTTAAAACTTAAAAAATGTTAGGTGAACAGTTAGAAGTTTGGTTCAGTGTAATTTTTAAGTTTCTTGAATTTCGGTTGAATCAAATGAAAGAAATGGAAGTTTTGGTTATCGTACTATAGTGCGGTTTTTAGAATCGTTCCACAAGAAAAATTAAGGTAAAAAAAATCAGGAAAATGTGTCTTTATTTTAATATTCGGTCAAAAACAGATTAAAGACTTTTTAATTATAATTAATCTTTATAAACTAAATTGCTCAGTCATCGTGTAGATTATGTCGTACAAACGGGTGTAAGAGAGATAACTGCGATATTATTTTGTTCAGCTTAAAAGAAAAATTATGGAATGCTATTTTTTTTTTGTATGCACAAGTGTATGTTTAAGGTCAAGGTCTAGTAAATGGAAGGTGCCTACAGATTTTTCAATTTTAAGAAATTAATTCCTTTAATGAGCTTTATAATATTAGCTTGGTCAAAATAGATGTTCCGGGGCATAATTTGTAGAAAAACAAGATGAAAAACCATATTTTAAACTGTCATTTTCAATAAAAAATTAAGAAAACCAGTATTGAAAATGGGAGTTTTTTCCATATCAGGCAAAGAAAATGTATCCAGATTGCCTACAGTTTTTCAGAAAACGGTTATTTGTATGTTCTTAGTCTCTACTTTAAAATAATGTCAAATTTAAGATAGGTATCGGGACTACTTTTCATGTGATTTCAAATTGAATTCCATGGAAGTACTCTTTTTTCTACATAATTCTATTTGAGCCGTAAAGTACGGGAAAAAGAAAGTTGAAAGTGATTATGACGTCATAATGGATTTAGCACTGAAAAGTTACTCTAAAGTCATTTACTAGATCTTGACCTTAAGGGGATGGATCCATAGTAGGAGGATGTGCATGAAGTTCATACGCATAAAACGACAAAGTGTTGACAGATGCAATTTACATTGTATATATTGACTGTTCATGCATGTTTCTTGTCGAGTCAATGTTGTATAACGAGCCACAACCCTGGCCCCCCGGATGTGAAAGGCAGTTTGCCTTGAAAAAGTTGGCCACACCCCCCCCCCACCCCCCCCCCCCCCCCCCCCCCCCCACGAAATAGTTTTTCGAGTTTTGGCAATTTTCCTTTTTTTTTTTTTTTTTTTTTTTTTTTTTTTTTTTTTTTTTTTTTGCTTGTCAACTTTTTTTTAGGTAAGTAAAAAAAATTTTCTCAGGTTGGCCCCCCCACTTTCAAAAACGATGCTACGTGCCTGAACTGTTAATTTTGTATTCAGGTCTATAGAAACCGTTTGAAGATTGAAGTCCTTTTTCCTTCCCCTTTCCCAGTACAACATTTAAATCTTCAATCTCTACCCAGAGTTATCGTTCGCTTCGCTAAACTATATGTGGAACGATAACTCTGGGTAGAGATTGTTAAATTAGGGAATAACTATCTTCTAATTTAGTATTTGCGACCGTTAATGCTGATTTAATGGTCGCAAACTGAGTTTTACCGGCGACGCGTAAGCGGAGCCGGTAAAACGGATGTTTGCGACCGTTAAATCTGCATTAACGGTCGCAAATACCAAATTAAAAGATCAGTTATTCCCATTCTAATACAATCCATGCAATTTGTTTGTTGTTTACGTCTTATTTTGATGAATTTTGTTACATGAAATACGTCACGGAGTATTGTGTTTTTGCGTCGCTCTATTATGACGTCACAACGAAAAAGCTTTCACGCTCGTTAATGCTCGTTTTACTGCTTCAAACATCATTGCATTAGCCAATCAAAAAGTGTTTTACAAAACAATTGCATTAGAATCTTATCTCAAACCAGGAATTAAATTACAAATATCGTTGAGGCCATTCATAAAAATGTAAGTAACAAAAACATTTTAATAATTTATGACTAGATTATAATGCAGTTTGAACGGGGAAGGGGAGTTTGAATACCCGTGTGTTTCAGAGAAAATAATTGAGTTAGTATGGAAAAACTATGTCAATTTATGTTGTTCTTGCTCTTCTTCCGTGTTTCGTTGAACACATTTCAAAAAAATTCTTCTTCTTCTTTCTAAACGAGTTTTGTATTTTTCAGTTGGCATGATCTAAAATGGATATTCCCCGCACAGCCCAACACTTTTTAGAATGCGGCATTGAAGACTGTGAAAGAAACTGCGAGTTCTACTGCAACCCTTGTCATCAAAGATTGTGTAAACAATGCAGCGAGGAACATCTGAAAAGTCCAGAAAACAAGAGCCATGAGGTGGTCCTTTACCAGCAACGTAAACGACAACTTCCTGTTGAGAAATGTAAGATCCACCTCACTAAAGATGTGGACATGTTCTGTGAAGAATGCCAAGTTCCAGTATGTTCCAAATGCGCCACACAAAGAGAGCATCGGGGGCATACATTCACTGATCTAGAGACAATTTATGCGGATAAATATGCCGACTTTCAAGAGGAAATTTCCAAAATCCAGGAGTACTTTCTACCCACATCAAAAGACATTTTACAGAAAGAAATAAAAAAAGATTCCTCACAAATTAAACACATCATGGACAACATCAGAACATCCATGAAGACTGAAGGCGAGTCCCTGAAGAGTCTAGTGGACACAGTCATATCTGAGAACATGAAGCAGGTAGACCAGATAGAGCATTCACTGTTAGAAGATCTAAACACCGAAGACAATGCATTAGATGACTACATCAATTATCTTAACAACCTTGTCAAAGAGCTCCACAGATGCCTGTCCTCTACAGAAACCCAGAAATTAATGTCTGAGAAGAAACCAGAGATCCGATCCATACCAGAGACAACAAATCCAGTCACACCAGGATTTACTGCTGGTCAATACAACAAAAGTGAAGTCAAATTACTTGGAAAAATACATGTCCCCAACACTAAAGCAGAAAAGAGAGAAATAAGGCCCATTGAAAGTGTCTATAATACAGCACTGAAACCTACACATAAACAGAAGACAGAAGACCGAAAGAAATCTGACAAGAAACAAACATTGTCTCTATCTGCCTCTGTCACCAAGGTCAGGGAGTTCAATGTACCAGGTGTTGATAATGTATTCCATGTATCACTAGATCAATCAGACAGACTCTGGATCAGTGACTGTTACGGTAATCTTGTCCAAACAGATCTACAGGGGAATGTGATACAGAAGATAAAAACCAGTGGTAGATCTGAAGGTTACCACACAGTCACACAGGACAGGGATCTGATCTTTACAGACAAAGCCAAGAAAGTCATCAATAGGATAACACAGGATAATAATATCACTGAATTCATAAAAACTGGAGACTGGAAACCACTCAGCATACACTCCTCCCACATCAACGGTGACTTACTGGTGGGGATGTGGAAGATTAGAGAGGCTAAAGTCACCAAATACAACAATACAGGCAAAGAACTGCAGATCATGCAGAGGGATAACAAAGGACAGGGACTGTATAGCTATCCACACTACATCAAAGAAAACATCAATGGAGATATCTGTACATCAGACTCAAATAAAGGTGCAGTAGCGGTGGTGAATAAATCAGGACAACACAGGTTCTCCTACACAGGTCAGGAGTCAGAGGTCTGGCCCAGTGAAATCTGTACTGATGTCCTTGGTCACATCCTGGTGTGTGATACATATTATGAGAGTCCCTCCGTTCATCTCCTTGATCAGGACGGTCAGTTCTTGTCTCTATTACTCACAGAAGAAGAAGGGGTAAAGTATCCCCGTAGTGTGTGTGTGGATGATGAGAACAATCTCTATGTGGGACAAGGTCACACCAACAAACTGACAGTGTACAAGTATCTACAGTGATTCTTATCCTGGCATTAACAAAGCACTCACAGTATACATCGAAATATCCACTTCTACCAATAATTTTTGTTACTTTTTATACAACATGACTACGTACATTTTCCAATTGTTTGATAAAAAAAATTGCTTACTAGTATTAATTTATGGTATTTTACTAAGTGTATATATTTCAACAGTTTTACCATATGCAAGTGTTATGTTGATATTTTACCAATATCTATCACCTATGAAATTATCAAATTTTAATTATATATATTTTGTATATTTGCTAGAATCATTCAATATACACAACTTCAAACAGAACGAGGTTTTTTTTTTGTTAACAAAGTTGTGGGGTAAATCTTTATATAAACATTTTTAAAAAAAATCAAGGTATTATTTAATATATTGTCTGTGTAGCTAGTGGATTTACAGGCTTGGATCTACAAATTGTTTAAAGGGGGTAGGGGTTGAAGGTGGAGATGGTCGTAGAGGAAAAGAATTCTTATAATGTACGTTTACATATATTTAGTTAAACAAAATAGGATACTAGTATAGGGATGTAGTACCGTTTTTATTAAAAGTGGGAGGGGGGTCAGCCTGGGAAAATGAATTTCCTAAAATTTTTGACGAAAAGAGGGGGGATCTAAAAATCCTATTAAGGGAGGATTTTGTTTTTACAACCAAATTCCATCTCTCATTTAAAGCAAAAAATTCCAGGGGGGCCCTTTTCTGTATCCCTCACTATTTAGCTAACAAAACATTAATTCCTTAATTATTGCATACAATTATATGGCGTGTACATTTATCTTTTATTGTAAGTCGTAGTCCGATGCGCAACATATTTCAGCAAACTTTAGTTTATTTCAAAATTTTAGAAGGAAAACAATATTGGTGATACAAATTCTATTGACCTGTTATTGTGTGCTTTTCTAACTTTCTTTAAAACGCCTATTTCAAGTCCGTAACTAGGCTCAAATATTAGTGAGGCAAGGGAACTCGGCATTCCTAGTCCCAGACAGGGCAAGGGTAGTACCTGGTGGCCAGTGATGGAGGTTTCCAGGGGGAGAGGGATCCTGAAACCTATGTATTAAAAGATTTAATCTCAAAAATGTTTTTACGTTTTGAATTGTTGCCTGCAATGCACGTACGGTGAATGATCTAGGGACGCAGGCTAAGTTGTTGATCCTTACATCGCGGGTTCGAATCCCACTGCGGGATGTTGAGACTGGGTCCTTTGGATGTGACTGAAAAAAAGAGGTCACGTGTCACAGTAAGTGATGGCACAAAAAACTTCAAAGATCTTTCACTGTTCAATTATCTTTAGTGACCCTGAAAGCCCAGCACAGATTTAAAACTTGCAGCCCTCCACCTGCAAGTAGAAGTGACTCAATATGAATGAGAAATTCCTAGAAGGGATATTAAACAATTTAACAATTAACTTAACAAACATTTTGAAATATATATTTTATATGCGTTCTAAATGAAATGAGGCACCTGGTGAGATGAACGATTAACAGAAATCACAGGTAATTTGGTCGTGGTTTATAAATATTTATAAGTGTATACTTTTTTTTTACATATCAATAAGGTACATTATAAATATTTATAAACCACGACCCAAGTACCTGTGACAGAAATGGAAACAAAAGTTGAAAATATTAATTTAGCACGGAGACACGCATGATTCAAAAGTTCAATGTAGAACTTTTTCACTTTTCAGAAAAACAGAAAATTTAGTGAGGCATTTTCCTCACTTGCCTCAATGGTGGTTAGTAAGTTACGGCCTTGATACCGGTCATACTAAAATACGCCTGCCGACGCCTGCTATGGGAAAATACGCCTGCCGAGAAAATCTATACGGCTGCCGTGTTATTTATTATAATAATTTGTTTTTTTTTTGTTTGATATATTACTTTTACAGACCTTGTAGATGATATTTTAGGAAACAAAAATAATTTTAAAACCACAGAATGGAGTTTTTAATCGTTTTAAAGTTTGCAAACACGCCTGGAACACGCCTGCCGAAAAAATCTAACGTCCGCGGTGTTGTTTCTCTAATTTCTTATCACAATATTTGATTTATTACTTTTATAAAGTATTTGGTTAATATTTGACGAAATATTAATCATAAATATATATTTTTAATATATATTTTCTTCGCTTAGTGTTTGATACGAGAGTTTGTAGTATTAAAGCAGTGGCGGATCCAGAAGGGGGGGGGGTTACGGGGGCTTCAAAAACAGTTTTTAAAAGATTTCTAACATATGTATTCTTCATAAACTAAAATAAATCGTGTAAAAATCAAAAAATCATTCGCTGATTATGTACAGTGTAAGAGAGATAACTGCGATATTATTTTGGTTTAATGTATCGCTTAAAGAATTATCTAACATAAAGCTTTAAAAGAATTCCAGACTGTTATTATTTTTGTATGCACAAGTGTGTGTTTAAGGAGGTTGGGGGAAGTGTAGGAGGGTGTGCATGAAGCTCACATGCATAAAACGACAAATTGTTTACAGAATGAGATACAATTCATTGATTGTTCATGCATGTTTCTTGTCGAGTCAATGTTGAAATGCATGACGAGATACATGATTTGAAATGTAAAAATTCAAATAATAGTGCATGTTCAAAAATGGGTCAGACTCTGTAGTTTCGCCACATTGTAATACTGAAGTTGTAAAGATAATTTACATGTACTGCATTGCTTGTAAGTTGTTTATATAAAAAAAATTAGGCTTTCTTGCACATTTTTGTGTTTTCATTAAAAATCAAAATACGAATATATATGTTTTTGCTTTTTATCAATAATCCTTCTTAATTATTTTCCATTTTGAATTTTGCAAAAGTCATTATTAAATAATTTAATTTCACTTGTATCAAGCTATTTCATTGGGTGAATCATTCAGAGGAACATATAATATTTTGGATAACATAACTTAATTGCCTACGTCACAATGGGTTACGTCAAAAACGTATTATTCCGCTTGACGTTACTTTTAAAATAATGCTCAATTTGAAGCCTTAATCTGGAGGAAAAATTGTCTAATTGTCTATATTGAAATTAAATTATAAGGAATGAAGCTAATTTCAACTTATGTTATACGATATAACAAAACTTGGGGCAGTTTACGCTTTTTGGGAGTTGAACTATGTTCAATCTCCCATGGTCATCACGTATTTAACATGCGCAGTAATTTGTGTTGATTATATAGAGCCGAAAGCGAGGCTACTGTGTCGGCTGATTTACTCCGATGATATTCAACAGAAAACATGCATAAACATCCGCAACAAATAGTTCATGTCATTTTCTCCTGAATTGATCTAATTTTCATAATTTGAAATGTAAGTAAATGTAATAATGATAAAGTAATCTTATTTTGAATATTAGATTTCGTTCAAAGTAAAACTAAATTATAAAGAACCTCAAAAGTCTTTTCGTAATGGAACTCATTTTTTGTGTGCCGTCATACGATCGACAACTCTACATACTAACGGCAAGCGGTAATTCTAGTCGTTCCGACACCCAACGGTCCCGGATTTTTAGCAATTTCTTTTTTACCGGTGCACAGAATTTATTCAAACTTTTCAAGAACATTTTCTTGGTTTAAATTAATTCATTAATGCATAAAAACTTTAGGAAACATGCGTATTTATTACTAAATCAGCAGTATCACCTGCCAAAGCGGTAAATCTAGTAATCTGTTATAAATGTTAAAACCAAAAAAACGGACACTGATGTTTTCATAAAATCATTTCGTAAAACAACAAAATGAAGTTTTTTTTTAAATAAAAGGAAAACCTGATTTACATACCAGATTACTCGCACGCACACAAACTCTCATATATACCACTGTTTTTATGTTTGGTCATTATAAATATTTGTTTTAAACTTGGTATTGCTTTTTTCTTCACAATATTAAAAAAGATTAAGTTCTGACGTACTCAATGTATAATGTTCGTGTAATTTAAGTACATTTATATTCACAGAGAAGTTTTATATAACAAACCTGTTAGCTCTTAAAAGGATGCTGTTTTAAAATCGACATTTTATCATTATTGATATTTTTTCTGCGAAACTGAAATTTTCATAACACATGGGTAAAGGTGCCAAGGAAAAATATCTTACAAATTTGAAGATTGTCATCAGTGAATTATATAAATGATCAACCGCCTCTAATATGAATAAAATGGCAGTGTCCATGTTTTGCAATGGGAAACCCAAAATATGTGTAGGATGGAAAAGTAATAGAAGGTGCACAACAGCAATATGTTATAAAGCTTCTATGAAAATTTCGTTCAGTGGTGTAAGAGGAGTTGCGGATAAGAGATGGGTATACCCACAGACCTTTAGATCGCTTTTTAATAAATTGTGTGTGTAAAAAATAAAGGTACTGAACTCTTACACTGGGTATCTAATTTCACTTATAAAATATTTTTTATTCTTATGCTCTAAAATTCTACTTTCTATTGAAATCTATTCATAGAAAACCATTCTTTAATTCTACCAAAGCTCATTCCGAAATTCCATATATTTCTTGAGATATTCTGAAATCAATTTCAAAAATGACCTTCTATCTTTTACTCGACATTAGCTTGGGCCCCTGGTCATTCTCATGTAAACAGTGCGGCGAAGAGTTGCGTAGTATTTGCAAAATCTTTCAACAATTTAAAGTTGATTTCTTACTCCAGATTGTAACGTTAAGTCTGTAATAATATTTCTTTCGCCAAAAATTAATTTGAAAACGTATACATCAAGCAGGGGGGGGGGGGGGTTATAAAAAAGGACTAATGTAGTCAGGCAACAATATAGCCCCTGCATTTTTTTGCTATTCAATGTCTCTGAATGTCTTTCTCGAGATTTTTGCAACTCAAAAAATCTGAAACAGTTGTCTGTATTTGAAATAATAATATTGTTCACTCACTTAACCTCCCGATCAAAGATTTTAATTAACACCACGTTCAACTCCCATGAGTGCTTTCAGTACTTTGATTTTATAAACCGCTTCGCGGTTTATAAAGCGTAAACTGCCCCAAGTTATGTTATATCGTATAAACATGTTGAATTTAGCTTCATTCCTTAAATAATATGCAATGTTTGTAAGAAATCTGTATTTGCTAACTAGCATTTCTACCATAAATAAGAAATTAAGCACTATATTTCTATTTGCTATTTTTTAATGACGAGACACTTTTTATAGTCTTACTATATATAGACATTTTTGCATAGCTATTTTTGTTCTGTAAATTTTAATTTTGTATTCAGGTCTATAGAAACCGTTTGAAGCTCGAAGTCCTTTGTCCTTTTTTTTCCCACCACAACATTTAAATCTTATCTCAAACCAGGAAGTAAATTACAAATATCGATCAAGTCTCGCTTCAAATCTCATTTTCACATTCCAAAGTCTGTAAATAAAGTCATTTATAGGTCATTCATAAGGACAAACACCACCAAATGTTTTCCCATAGACTTCCATACAAACTTTAGCACCTCTCACTGATACATATATTGAATTTCGGGAAAATGGTCTTTTTGTCGTGAAAGTTCGAGATATTGGAAAACAAAAAATGCCAGAAAAAATATACCGTGCCGTTGCACTTTTACTTTCAATTTCCATTTGTTTACAACTAGGTGCGTTTGACACCAAATGAAAATCTCTAACCAAAGTGCATCCCTCCCTTCAAATTTTTACCTGTAACTCCTATATACCTCAAAGAAACCCAAGTCTTGATATGAGATTTTTATCAACTTTATTTCACTTGTCAAATACATAACAAGTCTTTTCTCTTATTGACCAATCACGCGCCAGCTAGCATTTTCTCCTCCGCACAACCTTGGGTGTCCAAAATGTCTGCGCCCATGTATTTGTTTATGTAGGGGTTTTTCCTATAGAGTAAAAGAAACATTTATAAAAAGTGGTCAATTTAGTAAATTTAGAACACATATCCATTGCTTATCTCACCTCTTGAATAATGGGACTGACAGTCTTAGCTTAAGTACACCATTGGCTGTTACATTTCACACCCCAGTCAATCAGACCCACATCTGTGAAACAGAAAAAATGTCTATAAATTGAAGCATTTCTCTATTTTTCTTTCAAACTTTTAAAATAAAATGATTAATTTCGCTTATGTTTTGCTTGTTTTTCTTATTATCTCTAATAATTTCTGAAGGTAGATCATGTTAATCATTCAGGGTAGCAGGTACCCGTTATTAATGAAAAATGAAGAAAATCAGCAGGTTTTTGTAGGAAAAAGCTGGGTTATGGAAAGAGTGAAAACTAATGTAGATAGAATAATCAGTGGAAAGAAAGAGAATTATATCTAGTTCAAATGTATATAAGATTTTTAAAAAATCTATCAGCAGTGGGTTGCTGGCATCAGAGAATCAAATACATCCCCATTGAAAATTTTGTAATTTTGAAGGGGGGTGACCTACATTTTAGCCAATTTTCATGATCATTTCATGTAATTGATGTTAAATATGTATATTCTCATAAAAGGCAAATATATTTATTAGCATATTATTTCTTATCAATGACATAATTAATAAATTGATTAAATGCCAAGGGCAGATAACTCATATTGTCTGACTGAATACAGTGCTCAATTGTAAGCAAAGTGCTTAAATAACTGCAGTTCTGAGGAAATTTATTTTCTAATAATCTATAAAAAGTTCTTAATAACTTAAATATTAAGAGATTAACTAGATTTTCTAAGAAAACCATACCTTGAAACTCTTAATGAAAGCAAAAGGATCATCCTGAGAGTGTCCATGTTTTGTTAATTGTAAGAGGGTAGGGTTCATTAATCTCTTCCTTCTTGATAATGCATTGCTAAAATACATTTTATTTTATTAAAACATACTGATAAATGCATATAGCAGCTTATATCTTAATTTTTTATTATTTACACCATCTTTTGAATTTCTTTTAAGCATTTGTGATGTAATACCTTTAAAAAAAATCATGTTAAATAGAATTTACTCAGATAATTATTTTTAAAAATATCAAAGAAATTGGAAAAAAATAACTGCAGATAAGCATGACTCTTGTTATTCAAATAAAGCAAATTTAAACAAAATTCCTTCATTTTTCAGCATGATTAAAGCACAAAATTACCCCCCCCCCCTTTCAGCAGAATATCAAGATTGGATATGGCAAGGAGGAGGGATATTCAGACATCTTTTTCATAATTTTTTCAGTTATAATTTTGCATATTTATTGCATTTTCAATGTATTTTCAGCAAGAATATATTGTACTGTAATTTAAATTAAATTTCCTACTAGTAATCTCTAAGTTTCACCAATAGTATAACTCTTATTTCAAGCCAGCACTGATTACATGACTGAAACTGGCTTTTCTGCTGGATTATGCCCCTTATGTAAAAACAAAGTACCCTAATTAGCTAACAGCAGTCAAATTTTGTTATAAATTATTCAATCAACTCTGATTAACACAAATTTGAAAGAGGATTATTCAATCTGTTCCAATGTCTACACTCATAAAATACATGGATTTAAATGAATTTCTCAAACTGCGAGGGGGGTATTCATATGTTTTGTGTATTGATGATGCCCATAAATATTGATATTGTATTATTTACAATATTCACAGTAAATTTCGGTATAAATGTTTATTTAAAATTATTTACATGTACATTTATTGAAAATATGAGAGCTAGGGCAAAAAGTTTGGCATTTTTTCACTATGTGCAGCCCCTTTGTGAGCCCCAATTTACCCAGACCCTCTAATTTTTAAACAAATAGTCAAAACTAACTAAAATATAATCCCAATGCCGAAAAAATAGGAACTGATTGATTTTTTGGCTGTAATCAATTTTTATCCATGAAATCCTACCTTTTCTATAGGACAAACACCACCAAATGTTTTCCCATAGACTTCCATACAAACTTTAGCACCTCTCACTGATACATATATTGAATTTCGGGAAAATGGTCTTTTTGTCGTGAAAGTTCGAGATATTGGAAAACAAAAAATGCCAGAAAAAATATACCGTGCCGTTGCACTTTTACTTTCAATTTCCATTTGTTTACAACTAGGTGCGTTTGACACCAAATGAAAATCTCTAACCAAAGTGCATCCCTCCCTTCAAATTTTTACCTGTAACTCCTATATACCTCAAAGAAACCCAAGTCTTGATATGAAATTTTTATCAACTTTATTTCACTTGTCAAATACATAACAAGTCTTTTCTCTTATTGACCAATCACGCGCCAGCTAGCATTTTCTCCTCCGCACAACCTTGGGTGTCCAAAATGTCTGCGCCCATGTATTTGTTTATGTAGGGGTTTTTCCATAAAAGGTAAGTAACAAAAACATTTTAATCATTTATGACCTGAGTATGATGCAGTTGTGATTGGGGGAGGGGGATAAATAATCATTGATCTGAATTTCATGTGTTTCGGAGAACTTGCTGTTTTAAAAAGCTTGTGTGGAGATAGATATATGTAAAATTGATTTTTTGTTGTCCATGTACTTGTTTCATATATTACTTCTCCATGTATCGTAGAACTCATGTCCATGATTGTCTTCTTTAATTATTAATAGTTTTATCATTTTCAGATGGCATTATCTAAAATGGATATTCCCCGCACAGCCCAACACTTTTTAGAATGCGGCATTGAAGAATGTGAAAGAAACTGTGAGTTCTATTGCAACCCTTGTCATCAAAGATTGTGTAAACAATGCAGCGAGGAACATCTGAAAAGTCCAGAAAACAAGAACCATGAGGTGGTCCTTTACCAGCAACGTAAACGACAACTTCCTGTGGAGAAATGTAAGATCCACCCCACTAAAGATGTGGACATGTTGTGTGAAGTATGCCAAATTCCAGTATGTTCCAAATGTGCCACACAAAGAGAGCATCGGGGGCATACATTCACTGATCTAGAAACAATTTATGCTGATAAATATGCAGACTTTCAAGAGGAAATTTTCAAAATCCAGGAGTACTTTCTACCCACATCACAAGACATACAGAAAGAAATTAAAAAAGATTCCTCACAAATTAAACACCTCATGGACAACATCAGAACATGCATGAATACTGAAGGTGAGACCCTGAAAAGCCTGGTGGACACAGTGATATCTGAGAACATGAAGCAGTTAGACCAGATAGAGCATTCACTGTTAGAAGATCAAAACACCCAAGACAAGACTATGGATGATTACAACAATTATCTTAATAACCTTGTCAAAGAGCTCCACAGATGCCTGTCCTCTACAGAAACCCAGAAATTAATGTCTGAGACGAAACCAAAGATCCGATCCATTCCAGAGACAACAAAACCAGTCAAACCAGGATTTACTGCTGGTCAGTACAACAAAAGTGATGTCTCCGAGTTACTTGGTAAAATACATCTCCCCAACACTAAGGCAGAGAAGAGAGAAATAAGGCCCATTGAAAGTGTCTACAATACAGCAATGAAACCTATACATAAACAGATGAAAGAAGACAGAAAGAGTTCTGACAAGAAACACACAATGTCTCTATCTGCCTCTGTCACCAAGGTCAGGGAGTTCAATGTACCAGGTGTTGATAGTGTATACCATGTATCACTATATCAATCAAAAAGACTCTGGATCAGTGATGATGCGGGTAATCTTGTCCAAACAGATCTACAGGGGAATGTGATACAGAAGATAAAAACCAGTGGTTTCCGCGGTTACCACACAGTCACACAGGACAGGGATCTGATCTTTACAGACATAGACAAGAAAGTCATCAATAGGATAACAAAAGATAATAAAATCACTGAATTCATGAAAACTGCAGACTTGGAACCATACAGCATACACTCCTCCCACATCAACAGAGACGTACTGGTGGGGATGAGGAAGGAGGAACAGGGTAAAGTCACCAGGTACAACAAGACAGGAAAAGAACTACAGAACATACAGAGGGATAACAAAGGACAGGGACTGTTTATTTTACCGCACTACATCACAGAAAACATCAATGGAGATATCTGTACATCAGACTTCATTAAAAAGGCAGTAGTGGTGGTGAATAAATCAGGACAACACAGGTTCTCCTACACAGGTCAGGAGTCAGAGTTCGAACCCTATGGAATCTGTACTGATGTCCTCGGTCACATCCTGGTGTGTGATATATATTATGAGAGTCCTGCTGTTCACCTCCTTTACCAGGATGGTCAGTTCTTGTCTCTATTACTCACACAAAAACAAGGGGTAAAGTATCCTCGTAGTGTGTGTGTGGATGATGAGAACAATCTCTATGTAGGACAACTAGACACCAACACACTGACAGTGTACAAGTATCTCCAATGATTATTATCCTGGTATTAACAAAGCACTCACACTATACATATACATCGAAATATCCACTTATACCAATAATTTTTGTTACTTTCTATACAACATGACTACATTTTCTAATTGTTTGATAAAAAAATTGTATGGAATCCCTTTATTTAAATAACACTTTTAGTTACAACTTGCTTAATTGATTTATGGTATTTTACAAAGTGTATACATTTCAACAGTTAATTTTAACATATGCATGTTTTATGTTGTTATTTTACTAATAATGATCACCTATGAAATTATTAAATTTAATAAACATATTTGTTGGAATCAATCATTATACACAACTTCAAACAGAATGAGATTTATTTTGTAAACAAAGTTGTTGAGTAAATCTTTATATAAACATTTAAAAAAAATTGTCTGTGTAGCTTTGTGGATTTACAGGCGTGGATCTAGAAATTGTTTTCTAGAATAAGAGTCGTAGAGGAAAAGACGTTTACATATATTTAGTTAAACAAAATAGGATTCAGGGATGTGGTATCGTTTTTATTAAAAGTGGGAGGGGTCAGCCTGGGAAATCTTGATGACAATCAGCCCATATTCTTCAAGAAAATGCTTCAGCCATCATTACATGATTAATATTGTACATTCCCGTCAATAAATGCTAAAGGTTGCCTTAAAACCATGGGAGTTCAAAATACCAAAATCAATTCGAATAGTTGTATTTTTTTTTTTATATATTTCTTATTTTTAAGTTTCTTGAATTTCGCTTGAATCAAACATGTCAAATGGAAGAAATGGAAGTTATGGTTAAATCATACTATAGTGCGGTTTTTAGAATTGTTCCGCAGCAAAAATTAAGGTCAAGAAAATCAGGAAAATGTGTCTTCATTTTAATATTCGGTCAAAAACAGATTAAAGACTTTTAAATTATATATGTATCTTTATAAACTAAATTACTCAGTCATCGTGTAGATTACGTCGTACAAACTGGTGTAAGAGAGATAACTGCGATATTATTTTGTTCAGCCTAAAAGAAAAATTACGTATGCACAAGTGTATGTTTAAGGGGATGGAACCATTATAGGAGGATGTGCATTAAGTTCATACGCATAAAACGACAAAGAGTTGACAGATGCAATTTACATTGTATATATTAATTGTTCATGCATGTTTCTTGTCGAGTCAATGTTGTATATAACGAGTTAAATTTGTAATGTAAAAATTCTCAAATAATAGTGCATGTTCAAAAATAGGTCAGACTCTGTAGTTTCGCCACATTGTAATACTGAAGTTGTAGAGATATTTTACATGTACTACATTGCATGTAAATTGTTTACATAAAAATTAGGCTTTCTTGCATCTTTTTGTGCTTCCATTGAAAAATAAAATACGAATTTATGTTTTTTGTCAAAATTCCTTCTTAATTTTTCCGTTTTGAAGTTTTCAGAATTCTTAATAAAATAATAAGCAAGGTATGCAAGAAATCTGTATTTGCTACTTAGCATTTCTACTAAATAAGAAATATGGCATCATATATTTATATGCTATCTTTTTTATGACGAGACATTTTTTACAGTATAATTAGATATTTCTGCATTGCTATTTTGTTCTGTAAATATTAATTTTGTATTCAGGTCTATAGAAACCGTTAGAAGATCGAGGTCTTTTTTCCTTCCCCTTTCCCACCACCACATTTCTTCAATCTCTACCCAGAGTTATCGTTCGCTTCGCTACAACTATAAGTGGAACGACAAGTTTGGATTTCCAGAAAGCCTGAAATGTCATCTCTTTGGTATCAATAATGTCAAAGAAATAAAACAGAAAGGGAAATATTTTAATGCAATGAATATATGGATTTTTACACCTGAAGTTCCCAAATGACTTATTCAGCAAACTCCACAGTAAAGTACGCAGTTTCTTTTTGCCGCAGTATATATATGGAAAGCATGGACGTCTGCGAGAGCACCCAAAGCGATTTTTGGTGAAATATCATTCTAGCGGTATTTGTGCTTCTGGGTGTTTACAATTTAATTAAATTCAAATACTTTCCTTGAAGTATATTTTCTTACGTACAATACGTACGGAATTATCAACAATACTTAATTATCATTCATTTAAAAGCAGCTAATCATTAAAGTTTGACAGGAATTAATTTAATAAATCCAAATACAGACTAAAAAATTAACATAAAATTAGAGTTGACCACTATTCTTTCATTTTTTGCAGAATCTAATTGTAAGCTTGTTCTATTGTGCGAGAACCAGTTTTCCCTTCACGTCAACAAATCTATATAGAAATGTAGTAAAATATGAACATTTTACTATAGATAAATGTCGCCTACCTTAAAGTAGTATATAAGGTGACGACTAAGACACAAAGTCTACATATTGGTAAACAGGTACAGGTAACAAACAACCATGAAAAGGAAACAGGTAACACGCGTGGTGACTACAGGTAGGACTGGACTGGACTGACAATGGGAAGCGTGTTGGCCAGCACGGGTGGATGGCTATGAGGTCAGGGTGATAGGTCATAGGGAATACATTAACATACACAATTTCACTACACTCCTCCCCGTTTTATTTAATAAAGCTAGGGGCAATTACTGTAATTTACTTAGAGGAATGTAAACCAGAAATGTATAAATATTATCTTATATGACATGGAAAACATATTAATTAATTCATGTATCCACATGAATTTGGCCGGAATTACATCTAACACCTTTGTTCTGCAGGATAACATGTTTGTACGTGGCAAGATTGAATAAAGTGCGAATTATGATAATACGCATGTAATGTCCACATTGGATCAAATGATCATATTTAGTTATATGCATTCCATGTTGTATGTTATACATTTCCTAACACTTAATTTATAACCAAAAGGAATATAACTTACCAATGACCTAACACTGATCTACTTCCATGGGAGTCCTGTAACTGAATGGTTTCATGACATATGATTGGCCCCATGAGAAAAGGTCCTTATGGCAATTTTTACACATTTTGAGGTTTTCATGGATTCTAAT